ATTTGTTTATGAGCTGAAAACTCTCTTACTCTTCTTCTTGATCACTTTCTGCTGGCTGAACTTGATGAGGGTGTCCAGGAACCAGAGGCATCGGGCTTTGTGGTCCCTGCTCTTCTCATCAGTGGGCAGGAACTTCAGCTCCTCCAGGACAAAGGAGCAGAGGCTGCAGGAAAGAGGGAGTTCACTGCCCAGAGGCCCCTCGCTGCTGAGCACCCAGGTGTGCCCACACTCCCCGAGGCAGGGGCTGCCCTAGGGCCCCTCAGCAGTGGCCTTACCTCCTCTCCTCTGCTCTCTTGTCCATCTCCTCCTCGCTGGCGCTGGCCAGGGCGGCTGCTGGCACGCGCAGTGCCTCGTACTCGGCAGGAGACAGAACTGGCAGGGCGTTAAGGAAAAGAACAAGCCTGGCTGCTCCCTTCCTCCTCCCTCCTGTGCCCTGGGATGGGCAGCTCTGCCCACACTCACTTGACAAGGGGATGGAGCCTCCGACAGACCGTGGCACACCCACAGCTCAGAGCATTCCCGTGGGATGCTGCCACGGGAGGGAGGCGGGACACGGCCCTGCAGGCCCCAACCCCACGGCAGCATTACCCTGCTGCCAGCTCCTGGCCTGTGAGGGGCACACTCGCCCCAGTACAGCAGATGGCTCCGAGGGGACTGGAACCACAGTGGCACACAAAGATACTGTCCTCAAACCTGTAGACGTGCTCCGGCCGGTCGGCGTCCTCGTGGCACGGCGGCAGGAAGGCAGAGATGCTCTGCACGTCGTCCTGGGCCACGTCCTGCATCAGAGCTGGGGAGGGACAGGGACGGGAGCATTTGGATCATGACAGCCAAAATGCAGAGAAAGCAACACAACCCAAATCCTTCCTTTAGAGGCAAGTTCTCTCAAATGGGTTAACATTGTTCTAGTCACAACTGGAGTTGCAGGCATTTACAACCTCTATCAAGAACCTTATGGTCATAAAAATCTAGAAATGCCAGTCCAGACTAGAGGAACATCGAGGAAAGAAGGGCACCAAGATGTGGGCAGAGCCTGGTTTTGGCACCCACGTTCTGGTGGACACCCAAAGCAGCTCTGAGACCACAGTCAATATCCACCCTGGACTGAAAGGGATGAAAGGTGGTGGGGTCAGCAGACTCTCTCCTGTCCCTGGCAGCGACACTCAGGATCCCAGAAGTGCTCTGGAGGGCTCTTGTCTGCCCTCCTGCCCAGACATCCACAGCCAGGGCAGCCCCAGCTCTCTCCTGCCACAGCTTGGAGGCCCCAGGGATGTGCCACCACACTGTGCTGTGGTGTGTCCCAAGGCTACACCACTCTCTGAGGTAAGAAGATTTTCAACAGCCATGCCACAGGGCTCACACCAGATAAAGGCAGTGAACCCACATCCCACAGGAGCTCCCAAAGCAGGCAGAATGGGCACTGAGGTCACAGGGACCTTCCCTCATCAGGTAACTCCAACACCAAATCCAGCACGACCAGAAGGAAGCAGTTCCTCTACAAACCCATCTCAGCTGTTGAACCAGCTGCTTAAAGAAAACCCCTCTTATTCCCACCACACTTGGCATGGAAAAGGCACTTTTCCAGGCAGAAAAAGGCACCTCAAGCTGTCCTGATTGCCCCTGAGACAGAACCCTCTCACCTGTCACTCCCTTGGCATCTATCACGTTGGCAGCAGCTTTTGTCACAGCCGTGCTCACGATGTCGCTGCCCACAGCGTTCATGCGGCGGGAGCTCAGGGCTCGCTTCTGCTTGCTGGTCCCAAAGGCCTCGATGCACAAATCCATCTGCACGAGGCAAAACACCTGCTGAAACACCCTGTGCACCCCGGGAACACAAACCCCAAACCCAAATCCATCTGCACGAGGCAAAACACCTGCTGAAACACCCTGTGCACCCCGGGAAACCCACCTGCACAGGGCAGGAACACACACTGAACACAAACCCCACACCCCAAACCCACCTGCACAGGGCAGGAACACACACTGAACACAAACCCCACACCCCAAACCCACCTGCACAGGGCAGGAACACACACTGAAACACCCTGTGCACCAAGGAACACAAACCCCAAACCCACCTGCACAAACAGAAACACACACTGAAACACCCTGTGCACCAGGGAACACAAACCCTGGGAAATCCACCTGCACAGGGCAGGAACACACACTGAAACACCCTGTGCACCAGGGAACACAAACCCTGGGAAATCCACCTGCACAGGGCAGGAACACACACTGGAACACCCTGTGCACCAGGGAACATAAACCCCAAACCCACCTGCACAAGGCAGGAACACACACTGGAACACCCTGTGCACCAGGGAACATAAACCCCAAACCCCAAACCCCACCTGCACAAGGCAGGAACACACACTGAACACAAACCCCAAACCCCAAACCCATCTGCACAGGGCAGGAACACACACTGAACACCCTGTGCACCAGGGAACATAAACCCCAAACCCCAAACCCCACCTGCACAAGGCAGGAACACACACTGGAACACCCTGTGCACCGAGGAACACAAACCCCAAACCCACCTGCACAAGGCAGGAACACACACTGGAACACCCTGTGCACAGGGAACACAAACCCCAAACCCACCTGCACAGGGCAGGAACACACACTGAAATGCCCTGTGCACCAGGAACACAAACCCCAAACCCCAAACCCACGTGCACAAGGCAGGAACACACACTGAAACACCCTGTGCACAGGGAACACAAACCCCAAACCCCAAACCCACCTGCACAAGGCAGGAACACACACTGCAATGCCCTGTGCACCAGGGAACACAAACCCCAAACCCCACACCCACCTGCACAGGGCAGGAACACACACTGAACTCAAACCCCGCTGCTCCTCCCACACTTTAAGTCCTCCCTGGCAGGACCCACAGGCTCAGGGTGCGCTGCTCTGCGAGGGGCAGGAGGTCACTGGGCTGGTGACCAGCCTACAATAACCAGGAAAAGCAGGAAACCAGGACAGTGAGGAAATGCTCCTGAGCCAGGCAATGCCCGTGCTGCCTCCTGGACTCTGGGAAATGCTGTCCCTGCACAGTTCACCCTGCAGGACAGCAAACCTCCCAGGCTCCAGACAGGCCCCTCGCAGCTGGACAGTCACAGCAGAGCAGACACAGCTTCCAACTCTACCTTCTCCCTGTAGGATTTCTTCTGATACTCCTTGGTGTCGTCAGGTATCACGTTATCTACAAAACAGCAGAAGTCAGTGTGCGTGCACAGAAGCAGCCAGGACAGAATTCCTTTGGCTGTGTGACCGACAGGCTGGGCACAGGATCTGCTCCGTGTCCCCTGGCTCATTACAGGACATGACAAATATGAGAACCGAGGAAAAAAGGCTTCTTCTTCAAAGCCTCACATGCAATATACGGACTATGGCCCAGCCCACGTCCTGCTGCACAGGGTAAATTCAGCCACAATAAATGCGACCCTTTGGGCTCTTGTGCAATGACAAAAAGCAGCCCTGCTGGACAGAACCTGAGGGTTTTTGGGTTTGGGTTGTTATTCAGGGTGCAATTCCTGCCGGGTGTCAGGCTCCCTCAGCAGAACACACCCGGAGAAGGCAGAACCTGAGCACTGAGGCTCTGTGGGTGCCTCCCCACCTCAGTCCCTGCTGAACCCCAGCGTGCCCCTCTCCCAGGCTGTGCAGGGGCTGTCCCTGTCCCTGCCACGGGCACCAGGACACTGCCCTGGGCTGCCAGCGCCTCCCACCTGAGAGCAGGGGCTGCATGTTGAATATTTCTGCATTGTAGACCTCCATCTGCCCAGAGCTCCTGTCCAGCACGCCAACAAAGTACCTGGGGAGAACGGGGGCACTGATCAGCGAGAGGCAGAGCAGAAATCATCTCAGTTTCACGGTGGTCTCACAGCTCAGCAGCTCTCCTGCCTTGCACACACAGCGCTACAATAAACCAAGGCTCCTCCAAGGCACGTGTGCACACACAAACAGAAGAACTGGTACTCTAAGTGAGTGCAGAAGTCCTAAAAACAACTGAATTCGGTACAGTGTGGGTGCCAGAATTCTGCTGTTTCCTCTTAAAGTGTGGGTGCCAGAATCCTGCTATTTTCTCTTGCATGTTTTTTTGCTAGCCATAGCTTGAACAACAGCTGAATTTCCCAGAGCTCAGGATCTCCAGAGCTGCAGACAAGCAGCACTGCAGCCCTCAGACCACCTGCTCACCAGAGTGAGCCCCGTGCTCTGCTCCCCCACGCTCCTCACCTGCACAGGGAGCTGCACTTCGTCCCGTCGCTGCCGAAGTTGTGCCCCACGTAGCTGAGCCGCTCTGTCTCCGAGACCTGGGAAAGCGGGAGAGACCCTTGGGGAGAGCTGAGGGACACCAGGAGAGCTCCTGGGGAGCCCAGGGACACCAGGAGAGCCCAGGGACACCAGGAGGGCTGAGGGACACCAGGGACACCAGGAGAGCTCACACCCGTCGCTCTGAGCCCGCCATCCACCCCTGCCCCGCCGTGTGCCGCTCCTGCTCCATCCCGCCCCCTGGTACTCTGGTACCGCCGGTGCCGGGCGCTCACCAGGATCCTGCGGTGCCTCTTCCGCGGGTGCGCCGCCTCCCGGTGCCGGTACGCGGCGAAGCGCAGCGAGTCGGGCCGCTCCAGCCGGCCGTTGGCGAACCGCACTAAGGGAGAGGAAAGCTCGTGAGACGCGGGGCCCGCCGCCATCCCGGGGCCCGCCGTCACTCCCGGGGCCCGCCGCCATCCCGGGGCCGCTCACCGAGCGCCGCCGGCCGCTCCGGCTCGGGGTCCCCGCGGTAGCGCCAGATGGCGGTGGCGGTGGCCATGGCTACCCCGGGCCGCGGCCGCCGCTCAGCGCCGGTGCCGGTGCCGCTCCTCCGCCTCTTCCGCTGGTGCTTTCTGTGGCGGCAATAAGCCCAGCCCCCATTGGGCGAGCTGAGGCTCCGCCGCCGCCTGGAAGTAACGGGGCCGCCGGTTGGCTGCCGGCGCGGCGCGCACGCCCGCGGCCGGAAGTGACGCGCAGTGTCGGCGCGGCGGGGCGGGAGCGGGGCCGGGGCCGAGCTCAGGCCCGAGCCCGATCCCAGTCCCGGTCCCGGTCCCGGTCCCGAGCCGCGCACCGCCCGTCCCGCACCGCTCTTCCCGCACGGACACCGTAGGTGAGCGCGGCGGCGGGGGGCGGGCACCGCGGAGCCCAGCGCCGGGCGGCACCGCGGCTCTCCGGTGTCCCCGGTACGGCCCGTGCGCGGCACGGAGCGCAGTGCCCGCTGCGCGTCCCCGCTGCTGGTGCAGCGCGGCGGGCAGGTGCTCCTGCGGGAGGGGCACGTATGCTGGCTGGTCCCAGTGGTGCGTAAGGAAAAAACGGGGGAAAAGCGGGGGAATAGGGCAGTGTCTCGGGAAGAGCAGCTCCCGGCAGGAGACCCCAGTTATCGCAGGTCGGGTGACGTTCCGGACTCTCAGAGGCTCTAAATCACTTCATTTTCCCGCGCTGAGCAGTGCAGGTGATGCCAGGTGAACGATCTGCTGTTGTGACTCCCTCCAAGGACACGCTGGGGTTCCGGGGACAGCCCCGGCCAGCACCGGCAGTGGTGGCAGGGACAGAGAGCAGCAAACAGCTCCGTGTCCCCCGGCCAGCGCCGGCAGTGGTGGCGGGGACAGAGAGCAGCAAACAGCTCCGTGTTTGAGGACGGACCTTGCAGTGCTCCCTCCTCAAAGCGTGGTCCCGGCCGTGTGCCCTTTCCTCCTGCCTGCGCTGGGGTCTGGCTGCGCTGGGCTCTTTCCTTCTGCCTGCGCTGGGGTCTGGCTGCGTTGGGCTCTTTCCTCCTGCCTGCGCAGGGGTCCCGTGCCCGTCGGTGCTGCTGCAGAATAACGTGAGCTCAGGAACTGCTGTGTGTGTGCCTGGGGCGTGCTCACCGAGCCTTACACCGCACGGGGAGAAGTGGAGATACTGCCGAGGGTCACCCCTGTGGTCCTGAGATTGGTCTGCAGGACAGGGCTGAGGTTTGGTGGTGAGGACTGGGGAGAAGCCAGCCCCGGCTGCTGCCTGCTTGGCTGGCAGGGCAGCGCCGTGCTTTGCTGGGGAAGTTGCCCAGGTGTGCCAGCAGAGTGTCAGAGGGACAGCAGGTTGTTGTTGTGACCAGTTTCACCAACCAGCAGTGGCTGTTTCACAGTAGGTGTGGGTGTGAGGAGACCCACACACACAGTCCGGGCTCCAGCACAGCTGCCCGTGTGTGGCTGGTGCTGAGCTCAGCCCCGTGGCGTTGTCACTGCTCCTTTTGTCCTCCCGACCTGCCTTTGTGCTGTGCCTGTGTGCTGGTGGGACACTCAGGGCAGTCTGTCTGTCTGTCTGTCAGGTGTCAGCTCTTGTCCTCGCTGACGGGTTGGCTGCAGCCCGGCCAGGAGTTCAGCCGTAGGATCACACAGCAGCTTGGGCTGGGAGGGCACCTTGGCTTCTTCCATCCCAGCCAGGGTAGGGACCTCTCCCACCGTCCCAGGGACCTCAAATCCCCCCCAGTGCCACCCCAGCCATGGCAGGGACACCTCCCACTGCCCCAGGCTGCCCCAGCCCCAGTGTCCAGCCTGGGCATTCCAGGGATCCAGGGGCAGTCACAGCAGTGCCAGGGAGCAATTCCATCTTGTGCTGCTGTCTTTCAGCTGAACCCAGTCCCTGTTCTCCTTCACTGCAGACTCCCATGAATAGTCGTGTAGCCCCTCCAGACCTGGCAGGCCGCGGTGAGGTCGTGCTGCAGGCTGCACAATCCCAGCTCAGCCACGCTCTGCTCGCAGCAGAGCTGCTCCCCCAGCCCGCCCGGCGGCCCACACAGCGCTTCTCTTGTGTTTCTGCAGGACCATGGATTTCCCAGGGCACTTTGAGCAGGTCTTCCAGCAGCTGAACTACCAGCGGCTGCACGGGCAGCTGTGCGACTGCGTGATCGTGGTGGGCAACCGGCACTTCAAGGCGCACCGCTCGGTGCTGGCCGCCTGCAGCACGCACTTCCGCGCGCTCTTCACCGTGGCCGAGGGCGACCAGAGCATGAACATGATCCAGCTGGACAGCGAGGTGGTGACGGCCGAGGCCTTCGCCGCGCTCATCGACATGATGTACACGTCCACGCTGATGCTGGGCGAGAGCAACGTGATGGACGTGCTGCTGGCCGCCTCGCACCTGCACCTCAACTCGGTGGTCAAGGCCTGCAAGCACTACCTGACGACGCGGACGCTGCCGCTGTCGCCGCCCAGCGAGCGCGCGCAGGAGCAGAGCGCGCGGCTGCAGCGCTCCTTCATGCTGCAGCAGCTGGGGCTCAGCATCGTCAGCTCGGCGCTGGGCTCCTCGCAGGGCGCCGAGGAGCCGCCCGGCGCGCTGGGCGCGGCGCTGCGCGGCGGGCTGGAGCAGCGCGCCGCCTTCCCCATGCGCCGCCTGCACAAGCGCAAGCAGTCCTCCGAGGAGCGCGCCCGCCAGCGCGTCCGCCCCGCCATGGACGAGCCCGTGGCCGACGTGGCTGCCGAGAGCGGGCAGCCCGGCGTGCACTCCCGGGAGGATTTCTTCTCCCCGGACTCGCTCAAGATCGTGGACAACTCCAAGGCCGACGCGGTCGCCGATAACCAGGAGGACAACACGATCATGTTCGACCAGTCCTTCGGCGCTCAGGAGGACGCCCAGGTGCCCAGCCAGTCTGACAACGGCGAGGGGAACATCTCCCAGATGTCCATGGCGTCCCAGGCCACGCAGGTGGAGACCAGCTTCGACCAGGAGGCTGCTGCCGAGAAGAGCAACTTCCCGTGCGAAAACCCCGAGGTCAGCCTGAACGAGAAGGAGCACATGAGGGTGGTGGTGAAGTCTGAGCCCCTGAGCTCCCCGGAGCCCCAGGACGAGGTGAGCGATGTCACCTCGCAGGCGGAGGGCAGCGAGTCGGTGGAGGTGGAAGGAGGAGTGGTGAGCGCGGAGAAGATCGAGCTGAGTCCCGAGAGCAGCGACCGCAGCTTCTCGGACCCGCAGTCCAGCACCGACCGGGTGGGGGACATCCACATCATGGAGGTGTCCAACAACCTGGAACACAAGTCTTCTTTCAGCATTTCCAACTTTCTGAATAAAAGCAGGGGAAGCGGCTTCGGCGCCAGCCAGAGCAACGATGACAACATTCCCAACACCACCAGCGACTGCAGGATGGACAGTGACGCCCCTTACCTGATGAGCCCGGAGTCGGGGCCCGCCGGCAGCCACTCATCTGCCACCGTGTCGCACGTGGAGAACCCGTTCAGCGAGCCCACGGACTCGCACTTCGTGCGGCCCATGCAGGATGTGATGGGCCTGCCGTGCGTGCAGACCTCCGGCTACCGAGCGGCGGAGCAGTTCGGCATGGATTTCCCGCGCTCGGGCCTGGGCCTGCACTCGCTGTCGCGGGCCATGATGGGCTCCGTGCGGGGCGGAGCCGGCGGCTTCCCCGGCTACCGCCGCATCGCCCCCAAGATGCCGGTGGTGACCTCGGTGCGCAGCTCGCAGCTGCAGGAGAGCTCGGCGGGCTCGCAGCTGATGATGAACGGCGGCGGCTCCTTCGAGGGCGGGCACCTGTCGCAGCCGGGCCCGCCGCAGCTGACGCGCGCCTCCGCAGACGTGCTGTCCAAGTGCAAGAAGGCCCTGTCGGAGCACAACGTGCTGGTGGTGGAGGGCGCGCGCAAGTACGCCTGCAAGATCTGCTGCAAGACCTTCCTGACGCTGACGGACTGCAAGAAGCACATCCGCGTGCACACGGGGGAGAAGCCCTACGCCTGCCTCAAGTGCGGCAAGCGCTTCAGCCAGTCCAGCCACCTGTACAAACACTCCAAGACCACCTGCCTGAGGTGGCAGAGCAGCAACCTGCCCAGCAGTTTGCTGTGAGCCCGGCGGGCAGGCGGGCGGGCGCACACCGGCGTGCCACGGTGCCAAACACGGTCTTGGCTCTGCCATTGGGGATATCCGGTACCTACCTCGCGGGTGTCGCCGCCGGAGCCGCGCGGCGGGATGGGGATGCGACCCCCACGGCCAAGAGCCCCTTTGCAGGGCAGAGGGGCCACAGCACGGGGGTCTCCTGAAATAGCACGGTTTGAGAACAAGAAACTGACGTGCGCTTTCCTTTCCTTTTGTCTTCTCTCTACAGCGTTTTGTAACAGTGGAAGCATTTAAATGATTACTGTAACATGAGTTGCTGCATTACCTGAGGATGGAGCTGCAGACCCCTTACCTTTCAAAGAGGAAAACAGCTTAGGCTGCACCTGTCTGACATAATGCTTTAAAACACGCTACTTACGACAATAGTTCTAGGATTATGAATGTATGTTTGGCTGTTTTGTAGTAAAGAACACTGTGTAATCAAGGTGCTTAAATTAAATCCCACACAAGTAACTTTCGGACTGCCAGGTGTACATATAACTTTAATACAGCAAGATCTGGATATTTGGCTGGTTCTTTTTTTTTTCCGTAGAAACGAGTATTACGTGGTAAGTGAAGTACTGTCTCTTGTTTGTGCTATTCCTAGCAGTATTTTAACCAGTTTGTATCTCCTATGTTACAATTCTATATACGCAGAAGTTTGAACAGAGCTTGTCTTTGTCTGTTGTTTTGAAGGAGAGGGATTTTTTGATGGCCTCTTTTGCCACGGAAGGCAGCATCTCGCTGTTCCCAGCTGCCCAGAGTCCATCTGCTCCCCGTTACGGTGTGAGCATGTTGTCTTTTCTCTTATCTCCAGGCTGCAATTTCCTGCCCTGCGCACTGAGGGACTTCCCTCTGCAGCTGTGGATCTGTGCGTGGGCCAGGAGCAATCCCCCTTTGCCGTGTTGCACAGAATCATGGAGTATGCTCACTTGGCAGGGACCCCTCAGGATCACTGTGTCCAGCTCCTGGCCTTGCAGGGGATACCCCAACAATCCCACCTTGTGCCTGACACTTCTTCACCTCAGGCAGCCTTGGGCCTGTGACCCTGTCCCCGGGGAGCTTGTTCAGTGCCAGACCATCTCTGTATGGAAACCCTCTCCTGTTAGCCAGCCTAAACCTCCCCTGATTCAGCTGCAGCTGTTTTCTCACATCCAGTCGCTGCTCACGAGAGTGGGGAGATCTGTTCCTGCCCTTCTGCTGCCTCTCAGGAGGGTGCTGGAGACCCTGGCGAGGTCTGACCTCGGTGTGTCTCCTCCAGGCTGAACAAACCAAGTGCCCTCAGCTGCTCCTCGAAAAGCTTCCTCTCCAGAGCCTCAGCAGCCCCTTGGCCTCCTTGGGACAGTCTAACAGCCTAATGTCTGCTGTGTGACGGTGCTCGAAACTGCGCCCAGCGCTTGAGCTGAGGCTGCCCCAGAGCAGAGCTGAGCTGAGCTGAGCTCAGCAGAGCAGAGCTGAGCAGGACAATCCCTCCCTCACCCGGCTGCTGACAGCCCCAGGGTGTGCCAGGGCACAGCTGCCTCACATTCTGTGAAATGTCCTTGTCAAATCCACTGAAGATACGTCATAAAAGTACTTTTCCCCTTACGTTTAAAAAAAGCTAGTGTAAATTTAATTTTAAAAAAAGGCACCATACGCACGCAGCAGAAATTTGTCGTTTTCCATGTGAATCATGTAGATCTCTTTTTAATTTCCCCTTCTTTGGTGCCACCATCACTTAACATTGCCTGCAGTCTCCTTTCTTCCTTGCCAAAGGTGCACACGAACTGTGCTCAGCATTGTGAAGTTTTAAAATGAACCTTCAGGGCATTTCTGCTGATGGTAAATGCTGCTGAGCTGAGCAGGGGCTGGGTCCAGGCTGCAGTGTGTCCTTCTGCTCAGGTGAGACAGGATTCCCTGCACCTGCCCTATCAGCATGTTGTTGGCACCTTGACCATCTGAGGAATGCAGAAACATAGGAGATGGTTGGATTAATTCCTTTAAAATATTAATATTTGGTTATAGGATTTACTTAATGGTCATATTTCTGGCTCTTGATTTTTTTTTTAAAGCATTAAAATAACACTTTTTTTAAAGCAGTGGGATATGCTGTGTTTTGTTTTAAATAATTTCAGTACTGCGGACTAACAGCATTGAGCTGCATAAACACTCTCCCAAACATCAATAAAATGCAGTATTTTGTACTTTAATATTTTCTTGTGTTGCTTTGTTAAGTAACACTGCTTCATCTTCATTACATTTCTGGTGTTTTGCTTTTTAACAACAAGGCTTGGGTTTTTTAATTTTGTGTTTCCTGTAGCACATCCACATTTTTGAATTGTTACAATGTTTTGGAATAAAGCATCTCTGCGCAACGAGACTAACTAGGAACAATTATGAGCAGATAAACACTGACCTGGACTTTTGCAGTGTTTTTATAAAAATTTGATTGTGGAATATCAGTGCAGGAGGACTCCTGTGTTCTTTCTTTGTGAAAAAGCTGGGAGCGTTCTTGGAAGCGGCAGCTCTAAATTCCATTGTCAGTTATGTGAGGCCTGGGGCCCGCAGCTGCCTCGCAGCTTTCTGAGTCTTCCTGAACAAAGCAATAAATTCCTGGGAGCAGCAGGAGCGAGCACCTGGGCCTGAGCTGCCGCCTGCAGACCTGGTGCCCTGCCCTGCAGAGCTGGCGCCCTGCACCGCGCTCAGAGGCGAACTTCGCACGCGGGATCTCGCTCGGGGTCTGTTCTGAAACACCTGCAAATAAACCCTGCGTTTCTGTGTCCTGTGTCTGCCTGGCCTCACTGCTCCGCGGCTCTGCACGCCAGCCTGTACAGGAGAAACTGTGACTGCACGAGGGGTCGTAAAACCTGACCTTTGTCAAAAATAATTTTGTCCCCAGTAGAGATCTTTGTATTGTTTTTGTTAATGAAATAATACGTACACGGCACCTGTGAAATTCATGATCCATGGTCACTGCTGCTCTCTGAATTCCTCATGGGAAAATGCCACAGGTGCAGGAGGTGTGCTTGCCTCAGAGGATTTCTGGGGTGGACTGCGGAGCCCGGTGCTCCAGTCCTTGTGGCAGCTGATTCAGCAGCTGGTGTCTATTTCTTAATGCAGCTGGGACAATGACACGCCTGTTCAGACACCAGGGCAGTCCCTGACATCACCAGGAACCTCTTGGACGCTTGGTCACCGTCCTCCAGCGTCACAGAGCTCCAGCAGCAGCACCATCTTCAGTGTCAGCACTGAGGAATCTCGGCGAGCCCTGAGCTCCCCCGCTGGACTCGCCCTGGTTTCCACAGCCAAGGCAATCCTCATTTCCACTGGCTTGTTGGAAACTCCCCAGCCAGCTGGGCTGCCCAGAGCACACTCCCTTCTCCCCACAAGTCTTCCCTTCTTCGTCCAGGTTACAAACCTCTGGAACTGTGTCTGACAGGGCAGCACACGGCAACCAGCCATGCCTGGGAATCAAAGTGTCAGAATTCCTCCTGTGATGCAGGGCAGCTTCCACAGCCGGTATTGCTATCAGAGAGCGCTTCTGAGCAGCCAGGACACCCCAGCAGAGTCTGGCAGGAGGGACAGGAGGGGACAGGAGTGTGCTGGGTGAGCTCCAGCTGTGTTACAGCTGTGTTACAGCTGTGTTACAGCTGTGTTACAGCTGTGTGCTGGGCCCTGCCTCCCTCCCCGCTTGAGGGTTTTGGTGCTGCCAGATGCTCAGCCCAGGACAATTCCCTCTGCCCGCCGTGTGATCCTGGCTGTCCCCTGCCAGGGGAGGGCACGGGTGGCTGCGGGGCAGTGGGGCTTGTCCTGGAGCGGAAACCTCTGCAAACCCATCCAGTGGCACCACTGTCCACCCTGGACATGCACAGGGGCTGCTCTGTCCTCTGTGGGCCTGGACAGCACCGAGTGCTGCGGTGGGACTGGGAGGAAGAGGAGGAGGAGGAGGAGGAGGCTGAGGGAGAGCCACAGCTCAGAAGGAGCCCGAGTCCAGGCGTGCTCTGCAGCGTGTGCCCTGCCATGAGGACTGGGAGCGCTCGGAGCTGGTCTGACACGGGTGAGCGTGACCTGCAGGTCACACCGTGGGGACACCCGTGGGGTGGCTGGGGTGGGCAGCCCACGGCTGTGGCTGGGCTGTGACAGGGCTGTGACCTGCCACATGGTCACCCGTGATGGAAGGGGCCATGGCAAGTGGCCGAGGGGCCAGTGCGCGCCCCAGGGCAGATCCACCCTGTCCTGCAGGATGGGCCAGCTGGACCCCAGGCTCGTCAGAGCTGCGGCTGTCCACACCCCAAAAGTGTCCAAGGCCAGGCTGGACAGGGCCTGCACCAGTCTGGGACAGTGGAAGGTGCCCCTGCCCGTGGCAGGTGGGGTGGAATGAGATGATCCGTAAGGTCCCTTCCAACCCAAGCCATGCCATGACTCTGATCAGTGGCACGGAGAGGTGGGCTCAGGTTCCAGCCCCATTTTTGGAAGTGGGACAGTGGCTGCAGGACACATGAATCCCCAGAGCCCTTGAGATGAGCTCCTCAGGCTCTCCTGGCAGCTGGAGGCTCAGGCCCCGTTCAGGCTCTCCTCTGCAGCAGCAAATGTCACTGCACATCGGAGAAACAGAAGGGCAGCTGCAGCCAGAGCCTACAGAGGTAGCAGAACCTCCCAGTGAATTTTGCCATCCTCCCAGTTTGCCATCCAGTCTGGAGCTGTGCCTGGGATTGGTCATGGATACAAAGGCAGAGCTGGAGGTTCCTGGGGAGCTGCACAAGCCTGTTTTGTGCTTTTCTTTAGACCCCTCAAGCAGAGGATTATGCAGTGCCACCGATTCCATGGGACCACTCGATGTGTGGCTGGCAGCAGCTCCTGTGGCAGCAGGAGCTCCTCTGGCAGCAGCAGCCTGCATGGACAAAGCTGTTACCTCTCCTCCCTTCCTGGCTACAAGCCCAGGGAAGGCACTCCTGGCCTCTCACGGCGACCAGCAGCCAGGTGTTGAGGCCAGACACTGCTGTAGCAGCTCCCTTATGGCACTTCAGCATGGCAAGCACTCCCCAGCCCAGGGCAGCTCCCCAGGACCTGCTGGCACCCGCAGCGAGCCCCACCGCGTGCCCTGGTCACAAATAACATCAGCACCACACCTTGCTGCTACTCTTTAATGGCACCCTGTGGTGCTCCAGGCCACCCCAGGGCAGGGGACACAGGCTGGCGTCCCATGGCGCTGCTGGAGCAGGGCATCCATGAGGAGAACATCCCGGAGCAGGACATCCTGGAGCACGGCATCCATGGGCAGGGCCTGGCTGTCCCAGCCGGGCTCTCAGAGCTGCAGCTCGTGGGGCATGGGCTCCCCTCGCAGCCCGGCCAGCAGGTTCTTGGCTGCCAGCACGGCCATGGTGCTCCTCGTGGCGTACGTGGCGCTGCCGATGTGTGGCAGGATCACTGCAGGGACAGGAGGGACGCTGCTCACCCTCACCCTGCCCAGCAGCCCTGCCGGGGCTGTCGGGGGCACGGCACCCAGGTAGGTGTTATTTGTGTATTAATGAATATCTCATATTAGTGTTGTAAGTAATGTGTTCAATGAATACACCTGCAGGAATTATGTCCTGGCTGGTCTTGTTTCAGAGCTCTTAAATCTCCAAGTCCTACAAATCTTTCTAGAAAGTCTCTACTCTAACCACTCCTCACACCATCTACTCTGAGAAACGATGCAAACAAACAAAAAAAGAGTTTTAGCAAAACAGAACAGCAGCTACAGGTTTGTATCTCAGAGACAGACATGGGCAGTTCCAAATTTTCATGGAGGTCCCTATGGTTTCTTTTTGGAATGTTTCCTACCCCAGAAACCCTCTCCCCATGGAGGGAGGACATCCTGTGAGGGCCAAGCAAGCTCCTTCCTAGCCATCCTTCCTCACCGGCATCATCCTCCTCCAGAGAAGATGGGTCTCAATGCTGGGCCTGCACCTGCCCATGTCCCACCTTCCCAGAGCCTGGCACTGCCCAGCTCACAGGACTCCTCCAGGCCAGCTCAGCAGCCACTCCAGTCCCTGGGGAGCTTTTCCATCCCAGTCCAGGATGCCCAGGAGCCCTCAGAACACCTGAGCTGGACAGGGCCTGAGCTGCGAATTGGCTTCTCTTTCGTGCACCTGCTGATACCAGATCCTCCACGAATTTCACACACTGAGTGAGGAGCCATACAAAGGTTATCTCAGTGGCTTTCTGGAAAATTGAAACAGCTCCACACCTGTGGCATCATGCTGATAAGTTTTTATCCCACGGCAGCTCCCTGCACTGTAGAGCAGCCCAGCTAAGTACACCCGGCTCCTGTGCTGCCTGCTGGCAGTGCCACGGCAGAGCAGTGGGCCCGGGGTCCCTGTCACCCGTGTCACGGGCCCCAGGTCACAGGGCACCAGCCCCGGCAGTTCCTCACCGCAGTTCCTGAGGGACAGCAGCGGGTGGTCCGTGGGCAGCGGCTCCGGCGTGGTGACGTCCAGGCCGGCGGCCGCGATCCGCCCCTGGGCCAGCGCCTCGTACAGGTCCTCCTGGTTCACCACGGCCCCCCTGCCAACGCCAGGTGACACCGGCTGGGTCCCCAGCACTGACAGCACCGGGCAGAGCCTCTGCAGGCGCCCCAGCCTCCCAGCAGCGAGCTGCCCTGCTCAGCTGCCCGGAACAGGGGAACAGCCGGGTGCTCCCGAGTGATTTATCTCGCCCTTGGCTCTCTCCCGGGCCTTGGCAAACGCTCCCAGTGGCTGCAGCCTCGAAGGCTGCCTGTGCTGCCTGTGCTCTCGGCCCAGCAGATCCCCCCCCAGCTGTGGAAGGGCCACAGCCCCTCTCAGGCGCAGCTCTGCGCTGCCACTACCTGCTCGTGTTGACGAACACAGAGGTTTTCTTCATCCTGCTGAAGAAGTCCTTGTTGCACAAGCCCTGGGTAGCTGGCGTCAGGGCACAGGTGACCACCACGAAGTCCGACTCCTCGGCCAGCCTGGTGAGCGGCACTGAGGGAGGACAGGGAGACACGGCACTGCAGCCAGCCCCCCTCAGCAGGGCTCCAGCCGCAGCCCCTGCTGTCCCCCAGCAGGACACCCTGCTGTCCCAGCCCCTGGGGACAGCCCACAGGACCCTCCCTCCTCCCAGGGCAGCTGTCACATTTTGCTCCTGTTTGCTGCTGACAGAAGATCACCAGCACAGGGACACAGGGAAGGGGAACAGCGGCAGGAGCCGCAGCCGGGAGGTCTCACAGTTCTCACAGTGCTCTGACAGACCCCTGCGTGCCCAGCCCTCGGCTGGCTCGGAGGAGGCAGGGTCCCCCCGCACCCCCACGGTGGGCATGCCTGGGACATGGCAGTGCCTCCCTGCTGCCCCTCGCCCGGGCTCTGCCCGGAGCCCCCCTGACCCCCAATCCCGCCCCGCAGGTGACAAACGCTGCGAGTGACAGCCCCACTGACACCCCTGCCCTGGGGCCGCCCTTACCAAACTCAGCCCCAAACTCGGCCGCGCTCTCTGGCTTGGGGCCGCTGCCGGTGTACAGGAACTTGCTGACCCCAAAGGGCTTCAGGCGCCGGGCCACTGCCTGTCCTAGGAGAGAGCCAGGAGGGTCTCGGCTGCTGTGGCTGCACAGCAGAGCGGGCAGCAGCGCCTGGAGCCACTGAGGGGCTGCTGCAGTGGGACCAGCCCTGCCTGGCTGCGGGGTGGGCCTGGAGCCGTTCTGCCGTGGACACTGCCCCCGTGGCTGCCCCGGGAGCGAGGGCAGGACCGGCTGCCCGCTGGCAAAGTCCAGAGCTGGACCCTGCCGAGCGTCTGTGGACTTTGGCACCCATTGTGTAACTGAGGAGCAGGAGGAGGCAGAGCCTGCTGCAGGGGCTGTGGGGGGGGTGGAAGCACATGAACACCTGAGGCTTTGAGGCTGAGGCTGGCGAGCCAGTGCAGCTGCTGGAGAGGCTCTGCAGGTCCCCTCGCTGTGCCCATGGCGAGCACAGGCCACCACCTTGGCTGAGCCAGAGTGCCAGAGCAGTCTGGGCTGGGAAGGACTGCAAAGGCCATCTCATTCCAGCCCTCCCACCCCAGCACGGCACCCTCCAGCAGCCCAGGCTGAAGGTGGGGCTCCGAGCTCACCCTGGCACTGCTGGAGACACAGAGATCTGCCTCTGAGCTGCACTCACCGATCCTGCCCAGCCCGATGATGCCCACGGTGCTGTCAGACAGGCCATACCCACACATCCACAGGGGCTTCCAGGTTGTCCAGCCACCACTGGCAGAGAGAGCGGGACGGGGTCATGGAAAGCTGTTCAGAGCCCAGCCGCACACCGGGTGCTCGGTGTGAGCCCCACAAAACCCTGGCCTGGCCCCTCGTCAGAGCCGCGGGGCCGGTGGGACCCGAGCAGGCACTCACCTCTTGACCTGCTCGGCAGCCTCGGGCAGGCGGCGGCAGGCGGACAGCAGCAGGGCCACGGACAGCTCGGCCGTGGCATCGGTCAGCACGTCGGGGGTGTACCCCACCCGGATCCCCCTGCAGCAGAGCGGGCTCTGGGCGCTGCCCTGCCCTGCCCAGGCTGGCTGCCAGCACTGTCCCCAGGCAGCCGGGGACATCCTGCGGCCCCCAGCCCTCCTGGGACATCCTGCGGCCCCCAGCCCTCCTGGGACATCCTGCGGCCCCCAGCCCTCCTGGGACATCCTGCAGCCCCCAGCCCTCCTGGCACTCCCTCTCCCCGGGCAGACTTTGCCCAGCCCCGCAGGCTCCTCCAGCCCTGGCATGGCTGGGGTGACCCCAGCCCTGATCCGGCAGTGGAGGGGGGCAGGAGCAGGGCAGGAGGTGTCAGTGCAGGGCAGGAGGGGGGCAGGAGATGTCGGAGCAGGGGAGGGTCGGGGCAGGAGGTGTCAGAGCAGGGCAGGAGCAGGGCAGGAGGTGTCAGTGCAGGGAAGGAGCGGGGCAGGAGCAGGGCAGGAGGTGTCGGAGCGGGGCAGGAGCGGGGCAGGAGGTGTTGGAGCGGGGCAGGAGGAGGACAGGAGGTGTCAGTGCGGGGCAGGAGCGGGGCAGCGCTACCGCTTCTTGATCTCGTCCAGCGCGAGGTGGTCAAAGCCCACGGACAACGTGCTGATGACCTTCAGGCCGGGCCCTGTAAGACACGGCGGGCGCTGCCGTGGCTGTCCCGGGCCCGGGGCAGCGCCGGGGGAGCGGGGCCCCGCACGCACCGGCCGCGTCCAGCACCTCGCGGTCGATGCGGTCCGAGAGCAGGCACAGCAGCCCGCGGGCCCCCGCCACGCCGGCCAGCAGCTCGGCCCGCGGCACCGGCTCGTCCGAGTCCCACTGCTGCACGCGGCACCTGCGGCACGGCTGCGTCACCACCGGCACCGGCACCGACCGGCACCGGCACCGAGCGGCACCGGCACCGAGCGGCACCGGGATCGACAGGCACCGGCTCCGTCACCACCGGCACCGGCACCGACCGGCACCGACCGGCACCGGCACCGACCGGCACCGGCACTTACGGCGCCGGGACCAGGACTGGTACCGGGACCGGCGCCGGCACCAACTCTGTCACCGGCCGGCACCAGCACCGACCGGCACCGACCGGCACCGGCGCCGGCACTTACGGCGCCGAGACTGGGACCATGATCGGTACCAGGACCGGCGCCGACTCGGTCACCGGCCGGCACCGGCACCGACCGGCACCGACCGGCACCGGCACCGACCGGCACCGGCACCGGCGCCGGCACCCGCACCGGCACTGGGGCCGCCGCCGACCGGGACCGACACCTGCACGGGCTCCGGGCCTGGCAGTGATACCAGCCCCGGGCCCGCACCGGGACTGGCCCCGGGCTCCGCGGCGGCGCTGTCACGGACCGGCACCGGCGCTGTCACCGCCCCGCGCTCACCCGCTGGCCTGGGACAGCAGCCGCAGCCCCTCGGCCGGGATCCGCCGCGTCACGAACACCGCCATGGCCCCACAGCCCCGGGCGGCCGGAACGGCGCGGGCAGAGCGGCCGGGACCGCCCCGGACAGGCGGGACCACCGGGCACGGCACACCGGGACCGCCCCGAGCTGCCCCGGACCGCCCCGAACAGGCGGGACCGCCGGGCACGGCACACCGGGACCGCCCCGAACTGCCCCGGACCGCCCCGAGCTGCCCCGGACCGCCCCGAGCTGTCCCGGGACCGCCCCGAGCTGTCCCGGACCGCCCCGGGCCCGGCTGCGTTCGGGCCCCGCACCTGGGCGGGCAGGTGTGCCCATCCACGGGCGTGGGGACATCCCTGCACAGGAAGAGGAGCTCAGGGGGACCTTGTGGCTCTGCACAGCTCCTGACAGGAGGGGACAGCCGGGGGGTCGGGCTGAGAACAGGGAACAGGGACAGGAGCAGAGGGAACGGCCCCAGGGCAGGCTCAGGGTGGAACCAGCAGGAATTTCCCCGTGGAAAGGGAGCTCAGGCCTGGAAGTGCCCGGGGAGGGTTGGAGTGCCCATCCCTGGAGGTGTCCCAGGAATTCTGGAGGTGCTCTCGGAGCTCTGGGCTGGGGACAAGGTGGGGTCCGTGGTGTCGGAGTTCTTGTGCGGCCCGATGGACCCGCTGGTGCTGTGACAGCCACTGGCATGCACACACCTGTGCACACACCTGTGCACACACCTGTGCACACACCCAGACAGCTCTGTGTGCACACACCAGTACCCACCTGCACGTACAGGTGTGGACATTCTCACACACACAACGTCGGATGTGTGAACTCCCCCCACTGCTCTGGTGGCAGCTTTGGGGCGTCCCAGAGGCTGCGGATGGGAACTGCCCCCCCTCACTCCGCTGTGAGACTGCTCATCAATTAGCCCGGATTTAAATTGTCTGCAGGCCTGATTGGAGCAGGTTCTGAGGCTGCAGGTACGGGGCAGGGCAGCCCAAGGGAACGGTGATCTCGGCAGGTAGCAGAGCTGTGCTGTCTCTTGCAATGAGCACAGAGGCAGACAGGTAAAGACAGCACATGTGTGGGCAGAGGGAACATGGAGTTTGAGGTACATACACCAGAATGTTGCTCCATGTGGGATTCGTTCTACTGCTCCAGGTGGGATTTCCCTTTCTCATGATGTACCATCAGCATGCTGTCAGATTATGCCAGCAGAATTGGTTTTATTTTTAAATAATTGCTTGAAAGTTTGTTGTATGCTGCCGAGCTGGGTATCATGCGAGCTGACACCTTGTCTGCCTCCCTGATCAGTGGATTAGTGTCGGGAGTACCTGCTCTCCAGTGTGACTCCTCCAGGCTCATCCTGCTGGCGTTTTCCAGCTCCCAATTCCCGGTCCCGGTGGATGTGGTGGAGACACCCCCAGACACTTCAGCAGCCTCCAAGCTCTGGGCCAGTGCTCCCAGTGGCACCAGAGACACAGAGACCCCCAGAGAGGGTTTATTTACAAATCAAAGAGCTCAATTCTGGCCACAACGTGTTTTTACCCATTAAAAGCACCTGTAAATGATCTTCAGGTGTGGAGTCCCCCAGCCCTCCCTGGGCCCCCTTGAAGGGCAGGTCGTGGTGCTGTGCTCCTGCTCTGCATCTCGCAGGGGCCCTTGGCAGCAGAGCCACAGCGTCACCCTGGCTCTGGATAACATCCCTTGTTGCACGTTTTGGGGTTTCTGGTTTTTACCCACACACACAGGTAAATGCCCAATTCTGTTTGCACCCTGTGGTTTGTTGCAGGCACACCTGACTGTCCCACCTGTGGGAAACTGAAAACCTTTCCAAGAGGGTTGGAGGAGAGGCAGAGGGGCAGGTAGTGGGACACCCACGACACTGCCACACCTCCCTGCCACCCAGGTGAGGGCTGCCACACCTCCACAGTCCCTCCTGCTGCCGGGTGGGAAGGGCAGCGGCAGAGCTGGGAATGCTCCCTCTGGTACCGCTGCAGTTTGGTGTCAGGGCGGGGCAGAAGAAACCACCGACCTCCCTCTCTGCAGGGAAACACCGGCCCCCGAGGCACCTAGGGCTGCTCTCCAGAGACCACAGGAGCCTGCAGCTGTGGCAGCCCCTTGCAAAAAGCCAGAGAGTGGCTGGGTCTCTGCCAGAGAGACCCATCCCCATCCCCATCCCCATCCCATCCCCATCCCATCCCCATCCCATCCCCATCCCATCCCATCCCATCCCATCCCCATCCCCATCCCCATCCCCATCCCCATCCCCATCCCCATCCCCATCCCCATCCCCATCCCCGTCCCCATCCCCGTCCCGTCCATCCTGTCCCACCTCTCTGGGCTCTGAGGAGGAGCTGTGGCTCTCAGGAGGGCAGTGACAGAGGTTGGGTGCCCAGTTTGTTGTCCAGAGCCCGTTTGCCAGGACCCACCTGGTTAACGGGTGTGAAAAACACCAATCACTTGGTTTTTAAAATTTTAAAAGTTTAATAATAAAAAAACTGGTTATAAAAATAGTAATACAAATAGAGTAATAAAATTTAGAGTTAGGACAACTACAAGACAATAAAAAGCAAAGAATTACGGACGTCCGGATGCTCTCAGACACTAAGTCATGAAAAGCATCCCTTGTAAACAAAGGAATAACCTTAAAAGCAATAGCAACAGCCTGTTGCATATTCATATATCTCATACATGATGCATAAATTCCTTGCAAATTAAGAACTTTTCTGTTTTTTGTCAACTTCTTCCCCTTAATCTTGGTGGTTCCACAAAGACAGAGAGAAGGTGGAAGAATGTTTGTCTTTTCTGATAAGGAGGTTGTAACTCTTCATGGGCCCCGAGTCACTGACACCTCAGTGTGAAGACTTTCTTGATTGTCTCATCTCTTGCTTGAGCTAGTAAAAAATATCTTACATTGTAGAGTTTCTATTTTAATATTGTGTTGTAACCTAAAACTGTATTTAACACACTACTTAAGAGAATTAATACAGCATAATTTTCTAACATCACACATATAATATTCATTGTAACATTTGCGAAAACCCAATCATAAAATATGCATTTTTCACAACGGGGGACCTGTCCTGCCGTGGGGTGTGCGAGGACAGGTGTCCCTGTGTGTCCCCGTGTGTCCCTGTGTGTCCCCGTGTGTCCCCGTGTGTCCCCGTGTGTCCCCGTGTCTCCCCGTGTGTCCCCGTGTGTCCCGTGTGCCAGCAGTGCTGCTGGCAGCAGGAGCACCCCAGCAGGGCCGTGCCGTGGCTGCGTGTGCCATCACCCCAGCAGGGTGGGTGTCCCCCCTCGCCCTCCAGCCATGCCCCACACCACGGGCGGGGCTGTGTGTGCTGCTGCTCCTGCAGCACCTTCACACCCAAATACAGGTGTCTGTGCCACATCCCCGTGTCCTGCTGTCCCTCTCCCCTCCCTGTGCCACATCCCTCTGTCCTGCTGTCCCTGTGCCCCTCCCTGTGCCACATCCCTGTGTCCTGCTGTCCCTCTCTCCTCGCTGTGCCACATCCCTGTGTCCTGCTGCCCCTCTCCCCTTGCTGTGCCACATCCCTGTGTCCTGCTGTCCCTGTGCCACATCCCTGTGTCCTGATGCCCCTCTCCCTTCGCTGTGCCACATCCCTGTGTCCTGATGCCCCTCTCCCTTCGCTGTGCCACATCCCTGTGTCCTGCTGCCCCTCTCCCCTCGCTGTGCCACATCCCTGTGTCCTGCTGTCCCTGTGCCACATCCCTGTGTCCTGCTGCCCCTGTTCCCCTCGCTGTGCCACATCCCTGTGTCCTGCTGCTCCTGTGCCACATCCCCGTGTCCTGCTGTCCCTGTGTCCCTCGCTGTGCCACATCCCTGTGTCCTGCTGCCCCTCTCCCCTCGCTGTGCCACATCCCTGTGTCCTGCTGTCCCTTTGCCCCTCGCTGTGCCACATCCCTGTGTCCTGCTGCCCCTGTGCCCCTCGCTGTGCCACATCCCTGTGTCCTGCTGTCCTGTGCCCCTCCCTGTGCCACATCCCTGTGTCCTGCTGCCCCTCTCCCTTCGCTGTACCACATCCCCACTGTGCCGTGTCCCTGCTGGACCCCGTGTCCCTGCGGTGCTCAGGATCCTGTCAGCCAGGTGAAATCCCCCCACACTCTGGCCCAGGAGTGTGCTTGGGCTGTCAGACTGCTCTACAAGGTGTATTTAAAGCATTTTCAGAGGTTTTCTGTAGACAGGAAGAACATACTATTCCCACTGGGGATTCAATCACATTGGTTTCTTTAATCCTCCTTAAGGCATAGCTGAGATTTTGTACCTGGGAGCAACTGAAATGGTGCTGTTCTAGGAGAGATATTTTAATTCTCTCTTAAAAGAGGCCTTTAGAAGAAGTCAAAGCTCTGCCTGGAGTGAATTCACAGTGGCAATATCAACCTTAGTGCCCCATGCAGCCTGTGGGGTGACAGCTCGTCCAGGAGCTCTGGTGAATCCTGTAAATGGGAATGAACCCAATGGGAGCGAATCCTGTAAATGGGAATGAACCCACAGCCTGTGCCCGCAGGGTGACAACTTTCCACTTGCCAAACACAACTTCCTCTTTGTAAGGCTCTCAGGGAGATACTTGGGGCAGCACTTGGGGCAGCGGGGAGAGGGACAGGGCACGGCCAAGGAAAGCAGGACAGGATAACCACTGAGTGTTTAGACAAACTGCAGGAAAAAGGCAGGCAGATGGCATGAATATTAGTGCATGAAAATGACGAGCACTCTGAGAATTTCCCAGTGTACTTCTGACTGGTTTGGGCTTGCTTTTATAATTAATTTATGGAAAGCACTTAAATTGGGAATAAACACAATCTCACAAATCCCTGCTAATCTCTGCCTGTATTTTTGAAATGATACCCTGAAGGTATAGTTCCTCACAATGATTAAACTGCTTTTCTTTTAAGAATTAAAAGGGACCTTTTGCATGTGGCCATGTGCTGTGTGAGAGCCAGGCCCACACTCTGACCTGCTCTAGATGCAATAGAGGTGCCTGGGTGGGCATTTCCCCATTGGATTGCTGGATGCCAAATCTGCCAATATTTTCATTTTGGATTCATGTATTTTAATGCAAAATATGACCTGGTGTGTTGTCAGCCTACGACTCA